ACTTTAACAAACCAACAACTCAGCTAAGTGCAGTACCTGTGAGAAAACTATCACGCACAGGAGGGTGCACAACAAACATGATAACACCCATACACCTTCATGATGTTTAAACAACCGAGTGCACGATCTTTGACGTGTTGCGCCGGTCTACCCCCAGTTCCTCCTCGTCCAGTTTAGACCCACAGCCTAGCAGCGCACTGCAGTCAGAATCCAGCAAGGTAATACAAAATATGTCTTTTGTTAACACTGAGACAGCTAAAAAGTTTGACATCATTTAAATAAAAGCAAATACTCAGCTAACCTAAGTACATTTATTCTTTCAGACAAGCCTCCTGAGATAGCTAACGTTAGCCAGTTGACAATAGTCTGCGATGTGCTACACCTTCTCTGTTCAATATAGCAGCTAAGGGAAAAATGTCCTTGCAACAAGTAGAGGAATGCCACCGAAAGGTTACTGCATATATTGTGAAACGACTGCACCCCATTTCAGATGTGGAATCACCAACATTTAGGTTAGTTAAGCAAAAATGATAGCGCTAAGCTAATTACTGAGCTAATATATCAAGTAATTGTAACAGTAACAATATGCAGCTTGCATTTTCCATTCTTCAAGAACTACCTCTTTTAGAGTAGTGATGCGAACTCAGGCTCTTTTAAGAGAACTGGCTCTTACGGCTCGGCCCACTAAAATGAACCGGCTCTTTTGGCTCTCAAATGGCTCCTCCCATTTGTTTTTGTTTTTTAAATTAAATTATCACCAGAAATTATATTAAATGTGTGTCTAATTATTGACCAATCTACAAACTTCCATTAAATGTACTTTTCATCATTTAAAGGGAGACTAGAACATCTTGGCTTATTTTTAGTACCCCTAGTGTCCATGAAGTTTTGCCTTTTCTTCAAGGCACTCGGAGTACAGACGCTTCTCTCTTTCGCTCCCTTATCTTTTTTTCCCCAAGGTTCTTTGTCCTGTCTGCCCACAGAGCGCTTCTCTGTATTTCTTCTGAAAAACTATTTTTACCAACCATGGATTTGATAAACTGGTCATTCAATGCGATCGATAAGATTTTTTCAACAATGAGAATGGAGCAGGGGGCTCCCGCATGTCCACAGGGGACATACCCGGTGGGATATATATTGGATTCCCGTAAGGAGTGGAAGATCATATGCCTCAGCCAGCTGTCTATTGAGGATATTGAAGATGTGTGGATATTCGGCCTGATGATCACTGGATTTCTCCTGAATGGAGTGGGAGGATATCTGGTTTTCTGGAAATTTGTGAATACGGAAGCGATTGGAGGGCGACCCACACCCACAGAAAGCACCGTCCGTGTGGAGACTTCTCAGACTGGGACGTTACTCGAGGTGAATCGTAAGCTGGACAATGTTCTAGCTGTGATACCGGTATTAGTGCGCAAAATGGATGTCATCTCGGAGAGAGTCACCAGACGGCATGGACAGGTTTAAAAACCCCAAATTGGCTTCACTGAAGGACTGGAATGATCAGTTTAAAGACTGAAGGCAGAGAGAAAATGTATCTCAGCCTGACCCAAACAAAGTCTTGTTATCCGAATCTGACGCCCTGGTGGCCTTGAGCGGCGAGCAAATAACACCCCCATGAAGGAATGCAGACAGATGTTGTGAAAACCCGACACCATTGAAGGTAAAAAGAAGTGACGAACAGAAAATGAAATAATTATTTTAATGTTTAGAGCAGCAGGAACTCTGAGAGAATGCAGGTGCATCAGTGAGTTTGCGGCCACTGTGCAGAAGGAGTGGGAGAGGGGTTGGTTGCGCTGGTTGTGATGAGCAACAATGTAGCCACAGCTGCCCTGGGGCGCAAAGACAGAGGCAAGGCTGCCGAGCACTGGCACCACCGGTCCCTCCGATCACCACCAGCAGGCAACATTAAGTATCTTGCCCAAGGACAAAACAGAAGAGTACTACTGGGACTCTACACTCTAAGTGATGAGAAAGATCACGGTTGTTGTAACTAAATGTTTCTAAACTGTATGTTGTAGTAAAGGTGTGGAATTCAAAGAGAAATGCATGGTGCCTACAGTGAAGCATGGCGGCAGTGGTGTCTTTATGTGGGCTGCATGAGTGCTGCTGGAGTTGGGGAGCTGCATTTCATTGATGGTATCATGAACTCAACAAAGTCCTGCTCTATACTGAACACAACAGTGATCCAAAACACACATCTAAAGCTACTGCTGCATTTCTGAAGAAGAACAGGGTGAAGGTGATTGAACGGCCAAGCATGTCTCCTGATCTGAACCCAATCCAACACCTGTTGAAGCAGCAAGTTGAGCATCACTCTCCATCCAGCATCCAGGCTCTTAAACAGGTTATTGTTGAAGAATGGAGAAAGATAGATGCAGCAACATGTTGCCTACTTGTTCATTCCATGCCTAGAAGACTTGGTGCTGTCCTTGAAAATCACTGTGGTCATACAAACACTAGATGTAGTAGTTTTGTTGTGGGGTGTGTTCATTCGTGCTTCAACCCAAGCCCCCACAATGCGGCTCAAAAATTGAGGCCAACCCGGAAGTACCAAAAATTGCAGTTCCACCGACATCCACTAGGGGCTGGTGTCAGAAGTGAGCAAATCCTCATCGACTCCCATGTTAAAAATACCAATTTCACAGCAGAAATAAACTTGTTTACAGCCTGGTACCAAAACATGTTTTTGGTTTAAATGATCTAGTTTACACTCATGACAACTCTGAGGGGGGTGAATTTTTTTCTCACTCTTCTGTTTAAGTGTATTAAAAGCCTAAAATTCTGTATAATTAATGAGCATCAGACCCACGTGACCACAGAGCTAGCTCTGGGGAAAGGCCTCAGTAGAGCCTCGGTCTGGCTTGGAAACTGCTCCGGCATTTTGAGTCTCTGTGTTTGTGTTTTCTTTTTTGGATATTTTTTGTGCAATTGTTGGACAAAATGACTTGCTGTGGCATTAACCC